GCTTAATAATATAATTAAAAAATTATTTATATATATATAAACTAAAATTAAAAATATTTATATGTAAAAATTTATATTATTTTACTTTTCTTTTATTTTTTTAAATTGTTCATATTTATTTAAAATAAAAAAATAAAAATAAAAATAAGAGCGGGAGCGGAGGCGGGGCGGGGAAATCCGAACCCTGCCAGGAGCGGGAATAGAAACACAGATTTTATCCCTAGCAGGTATCGGGGGCGAAAGCGGGAGCGATTTAAATTTGCGGGAGCGGGTGGGAAACGTAAAACCCGCCCCCACCCACCCGTTGCCATGCCTAGACTTGACTCATAGCTTTTGTTTTATTTCATTCATTACTTTTCTCTTTTTTTGTATTACCAAACCCTTTTTGTTAGGTGACTGAGATGATTTTGGTTGGCCCTGATGGTGCATGGTAGTTAAACCCAATTCGATTGCCCCATTTTCACCAACGAACATTCTTGGGCTGCCCCTATCCAAGGGACCTTCCCTCTCTTTTTATAAATATGAAATGGGCATGAGCCCCCTCTCCCTTAAGAAATGAAACATTAAAATATTGTTATAATTGGAAAATACTAATTATATAATTAGTTTTATGACAGGATTTTATGTAAATTTGGATCTTGATGTTCGGGACCAAACTTTGAGATAGGTATTGGTTGACAAGACATGTTATAGATGGATATATGTTGGATTTTCTAGAAAGACAATGCCTGCATTATAAAAAGTACTATTGTCAATCATATAGCTTGTGTTGAACCATGCATGTTGGAATATGTTTCAGATGAAATTGGGAAGCTAAAATTTGGTATACTGCAGCATTAAAGTCAGATACCATTGTTTGACTCTAGAGAGAATCATAATGGCCAGAATAGTGTCCTTGAGACCAGAACATAAATCAACTTGATAAATCTAACATTTATCATCATTAGGATTGGTGTAACATATTTCCTTAAGAGAGGCCTTGAACTCATTTATAGAAACACCTAAAAACGTTCTTATTAAAGAAAAATCACTAAAAAGCACTCATGCGAAATAGTTATCTTTCCCCATTGCTTCTTCACACATAATGCCAAGAACAGCTTTGGAAACTGTTATAAAAAAAACAAGCCAGAGGCTATCAAAACAACATTATTTACTTAGAAGAGCCCCATAAAGAACTACCGATAAAAAACCATCAACTATTTCACTTGAATAAATATCACTTTACTGGCATTTTGCTTCAATGCAAAAGAAATATGTTCACGAGTTCTAGATAAACCCTATAAAACAAAGCTAACATCCTCCAAACAGAAAATTCTACTTTGGCTAACTATATAATTGAATATATAATATTAGTTCAAAAAATCTTCCATTTCTGCTCCAAAGCTTCACAGATCATCCCTAGGCAGTATTTAGCAGCAAGTGGATATTCAGAAACTGCATCAGTGATAACACACGTAAATATAACTCCTATAAGCTTTAGTATAGAAATAAAACTGGAAACAGCACAAAGTTACAACAAACTTGAAACTGAATATGCACAAAAGACTGAAGACCAGAATTTCCTACATGAAACAAAAATTTTATGCACACATGGTGCATCTATTCAGACGCCCTAAATTAAATAATATTGACAAAAACTGCTATAATTCCTCAAGAGATACCCACAACACAACTATTACACTGCAGTTCATGCCAGATATTTTAAGTTCCTAAATAAAAAATAAATCAAATGACTGTCATCCTCAGTGCTTGCAGAACACAAGATGCACACATCAGAAGATACAGTTATATATAACAAGGTGTGTCAGTTCAATCATGCCTTTGATAAGATCAAAAAAAACTAGAACAAATAATAACTTGGCGCTTTGGGGTTACTAAGATCCACAAGAAAAATAACTGAGGGTTGAGCTTTACATGGTACTTCATCTCCAACCAGTAAACTTATTGTATTTATGAACCATAGATAAACAAACTCTTTTATCTTTAAAAAAAGACCTTCATTTCTAAAGAATCGAAGAGGAAAGCTAAATATAGTATGAATCATCCAAGATACCAGAACCGAAACTGGGAGAAATATGGGTATGTTTGACTAAACTCTAAAAGATACTTCTAGAAGAGAAAAAATATGAAGAAAAATTAAATAAACTTTTCTATAAGATAAAATTATCTTATGCATAAGTTAATTTATAAAATTTTTCTAATTAATTTCTTCAAAATCTTATTTTTAACCAATACATGAGTTAGTTTTAACTTAAGGAAAACTTATTTCAATTAAATATGTTTCTGAAAAATTTATCTAAACAGACCTAACAAATGCTAGTTTGTATACACCAATTCATATAGCCTCCCAAAAATAATTACAAGGAACAACCATCACCTAGTATCTATACTGCACCCATAGGCAACTTATGTTTGGCCAAATCCCACCTACAGATAAATGCACTGCAATCATTTTCCTACTAACGAAATATTTTAATTGAACACCTCATTCAACAGAATCAGACCTCTCAATTCAATTAGGCCTAAAATAAAGTAACAACGATAGATCAAAAAGGTCCATGGTTGTTCACTGAATCCCCTTCTACCAGAATCTTAAAATACATGTAAAGGGGAAATACATAAACATGCAATATAACAAAAGGCAAGAGGGGTAAGTGTCTACAAGACATTGTACTGTTTGAAGAATATCCTACAGCCCCTCCTTTTTCCTCAAATAAAAGAGATAATATATATATATATATCCCATTTTTGAAGAATTTATATAACAAAATTTTATGGCCCATAAAAAGGGAGAAAGGAAAAAGAGTCACAATTATGCTATTCCTTCAAATTGAGATACATATAGTAGGGCACATTAAATTTTTTTACTCCAATTCTAAATCTACATAATACATGGTAGGATAAGCAATGCATGTTTCACTTGTTGCTCCATCCTTTACTTTCTTGAAATTTATATTATTATAATTATAATGAGAGAATCAAATACTTGAAACTGAAAGAATGATTTTCATTATTACTAACTATCTGAGACAATAATGAGGTATTTATAGGGAGAGAGTAGTCTAACGATGATGAGTCAGCACTAATCTAAATAACTGATAGATATAGCTAACTGTAGTCTCATATATGCCAGAACACAATACATCAGGGTCTAGGTCTATACACAAGAAATCACAACAATTCACATATTCTATCATACTCTAACATATATTAGTTATTATTCAAGCTCAAGTGTACATCTCCAGCTTTGTTCACTGACACGCTGGAAAAACCGTGGAGTGAAATCCCAAAATTCTCTCTCATTTCTATTCCAAGCAGAGTAATCAAACAAAATACAATTGAGTAAATTTGTTTCCAATAAACAAAAATCAAATAAAATAAAATTCAGAAATTAAACCTGAAATATAATCATGAATATAGTCCCCTTTTACTTTCCCATTCACCATTGTACCTACCTGAAAACACATAAAAAAACTTTCAGGATGTTTGAAACCAACATATCACATCAACTCATGTTTTAAAATTAAAACATACCACAAAAACGGGACTCAAATCATTGCTCCAAACTGAGACATATTCCTCTATGTCAACCAACTTTTCTGACGTATAGTAGAGACCTGCATCCCATGATTATTTCAAAAACCATAACAGGATAAAATAAAAAGAATACCAAAAATCTTTCAAGAGTTTTAAACAGTATAACCCACCTACTATATAAGAGTTGATAGGCAAATGGCGCATTATAGGTTCCTCAACAACACGAAGAAGAACTTCATTTGTATCTTTGGCCCGCACCGAAGATTTTTGAAGCAACTCCACTACAATACAACACAAGAATAAGTTTCATAATGCATAAAGATATTTCACACACTACAATATAATAGTTGGAAACAGAGGAAAGGGAGAAGAAATTCATAAGAAAGTTTACTTATGACACCACAGAATCGACTGCATGTTCGTGGTATACGAACATGAGGCTTGACTTCAAACAATCTTCCTTGATCAATTTTAACATATATTGCCCCTACCATGCCGGCTTTATTAAGAGGGCTATCTAGAATGCAGCGGAGAGCCTGAAGAAGTCAAAGAGTTAAATCTAATTCTGAAAATATCTATGCAAATCTTTAAAAAAATGCAAAAGAAACAATACTAATTGGACAGAAGAGGTAACATTATTTGTTATCCATAATATAATTTATCTACTCTGTTCACTACAGTTGAAAAACTGTTATATAATACTGGAAAGGTAAGTTTAGGAGATCATATCAACAACCAACCTCATGAATTATGTCAGGCCGATAATCATTTAGATTTTTGTTTTGCTTTAGCAGAAACTGTGCATCCTCATCCGAGTTCAGAATTTTCCATTCCTAAACCATAAATAAAAAAGACACAAATAAATAAATAATTATTAGCCTGTAAAATGCATATTTTTATATTTCCAACATAACTTTGAGAACATAAGCAATGAGAGATGACAACCTATACCAAAGTAAAAGCTTCACAATATAATTATTAGCCTGTAAAATACCTTTCTAACGAGACCCTTTATCAGAGAAGCATTGTCAAGGATGAATATGGCGGGGGGGCTCACGCCTCTACAGCTATGATGACCGAAAAAAGATAAGAAATTCCTAGGTCACAGTTAAAGTCAGACACTGCAGCTAACAAAAACTTAGAAGACTTCATGCAATGTCTATAAACAGGAAGCAACATTTAATGCAAGATCAAGTGTATTAAATGAGAAATTGAACTAGTCATGAACGACTACATTCTGCTTTAACGGACACTAGCAACGGGCAGATTTTACAGAGGCTATAAATATGTCATGACTCCAAACCTGGAATGGTTGGTGAAAGCCCAAGATGCAACGAAATCAGAGACAGAGCATACATAGTCAAATGTACAATATTGTATTTATCTTTGTAGACTAAGGAGTTCTAAGTGTAACTTAAGAACATAAACCTTAGTTAGTGTAGTAAATCTTTGTATCCTCTCTGTGAGAGTAAACCACACAGTCAAAACAAATTATCTATCATTTGTAAAGCCTGAAGAGGCTAGGCAAAGAATACTTGTATAAGCTTGGAGAGGCTTGTCAAAGAATACTCACTAAGAGCCTAAAGAGACTGAATAAAGAATACTAGCGCTAATGAGTGAAGTTAGCGGGTCAGGAGTGGTCGATAATCCTCACTAAGAGCTTGAAGAGGCTGAACAAAGAATACTAATGCTAATGAGTGAAGTTAGCAGGCTAGGAGTGGTTGATAATCCTCACTGAGAGCTTGAAGAGGCTAAACAAAGAATACTAGTGCTAATAAGTGAAGTTAGCGAACTAGGAGTGATTGATAATACTCGGGAACCAGGAGTGGTTGATAATACACACTGAGAGCCTGAAGAGGCTGAATAAAGAATACTAGCACTGACGAGTGAAGTTGGCGGGCCATAAGTGGTCGACAATACTTGGCAAACCAGAAGTGGTGATAATTCTTGTACTTAATTGATAATCTAGTGGAACCCTTCAATTGAAGGAGACTAGACGTAGCATAGTTTGAGCAAACCAGTATAAAACTCTTTGCACTATTTTATTTTTCTCAGATGCAAATCTATGTATTTGGTATCTCATATTGAAAATCTTACTCACTACTTATTTCACACTACAAAAGCTTTCAGATGGAAAACACCTCTTGTTTAACTTATCATTGCAAGAAACACTCTCGTGCAGACGATAAAACTTGCAGATGTAAAACTCTTTTAAATGTTTTATTAAAAGTAAACGTGAGATGCATCTTGAGTTTGAAAACGTCAATATGAAACATGAAAAAGTCTTTATGCGGAAAGATTTCCTTAAACCTTCACACACACATATTTAACCCCCCTTCTATGTGTTTTTCCTCTAACTTCAGTATCCTAAGAATAAGTTGTTACTCTCTCTAACTTATGACAAAAGGAGGAGAAGGGGCATAAGTAGTTTGAGGAAATCATTCGCCAAAGAGACCAGGATCTAGAGGAAGTACAAGAGTTAAGGGTAATGACTGGATATCATCAGCAAAAGACCAAGGAAGCACAGTTTGCGATGACATGAGCAAGGCATTTCACATGCAGGTAGAAGCGATGAGAAGACACATTGTAGAAGCTGAAAACAATCTACAGAGATATCAACCAAGCATGAATTTCTTTAGACTTATACAATATTGTCAAAGTGTATTGAAAAGCATTGTAGGAATGTTCTCTAAACAAACAAATCAATAAGAATGACATTTATTGAATTGCTCAATTGTCCTTGCATTCTATAATGCATTCATTTAGAACATTACGCCTTCCTTTTAAATAAATAAATAATAATAAAAAGAGAAATCTAATATGTGCACATTAATTAGATAAAGAAGTTACTGGTAATCAAATCCAAGCCTGACACGTAAAGTCGGGAAACGCTTAATCTAAAACCAGTAATCTCACAAAAGGACAAAAGGGCAAAGCACGCCCAAACTGACAATCCGAACGCCGAGTCCTTTTCCATACGCAAGCAACAAAGTTGTGCTATGGGTCTACAATATACAAAGCTCATCAACAATGGACTTATCCAACATTACCGGGATAAGAGAAATGACTAGGAGTGGACGAATCTATGCTCCTAAAGAACTACAAGATAAAGCCTCCAAGAAAAAGGAAAATAAGGAGGAAGAAAAGAGAAGAATTCGATGAAGAAGATGAGCTCCTAAAGTACATTAGGCAAAGTGAATACTCCATCATAGATAAGCTAAATCACACTTCAGTAAAGATCACACTGCTTTCGTTGGTCATGAGCTTAAAACCTCATCAAAAAGCTCTATTGAAGGTCTTGAACGGGGCCTATGTTGCACATAGTATCTCACAAGACAAGTTTGAAGGGATTATGAGTCATATCACGACAAACGATCACCTAACATTCACAGATGATGAGATACCAAGTGGTAAAGCTGAGCACAACAAGCTTTTACATATTTCTGTAAAATGTAAAGAGTTCCTCATCGTTAAAGTCTTAGTGGATAATGGGTCCTCTTTGAACATGCTACCTAAGAGCACACTCGACAAGTTGAAAATCAAGGAAGCCCAAATACGACCAAGCCACATGACCATCTAAGCCTTCGACAGATCTTGAAGAGAAGCAATGGGAGAAATCACCCTACCAATCCAGGTTGGGCCCACTACCTTTGACATCGAGTTCCAAGTAATGGACATCACTCCTACCTACAATTGTCTCCTTGGGCACCCATGGATACATCAAGCAAAAGTCGTACCCTCCACACTCCACCAAAAGGTCAAGTTCATGGTTAATGATAAGCTGATATAGTACAAGTAGAAGAAGATATGATCATTAGCAAGCCATTAACTATTCCATACGTGGATGCTACAGAAGAAGCTTTGGAAACCGCTTCCCAAGCATTGGAGATCGCCCATGTTGAGAAGGTCTCAAACAAAGGAAGCATAGTAGAACAAATCCTACTCAGGAACGATTATCAACCAGGACGAGGGCATGGTAAGAACGCTCAAGGGATCACATAACTGTCAGACTTCAAGGGCAATCCAGGGTGACAAGGCTTGGGATACGAACCAACAACATCTTTTAGTGGAAAAAAGCCAAGCAACCTCCCTCTACATGAGATCTTCCGGAGCGTTGGCATCCAAACAAATGGGAGTAACTTTGGTAGTCAAACCAACTAGGCCTTTTTAAGGGGCACCCTTTTTTTTATTTCCTTATATATGAATCACGAACTCGAGGCATGCCTAAGCCCTCGAGCTACATTAAATGGGCATGTGTAATTTGAAAGTATTGTTTTAATTTCATACAATTTTTCTATTTCTTTTCTTTTCTCTCTCTAAAACATTTTAATCTAGGCCTCATCAAATAACTCACAATAAACAAAGCGCATTAAAAAAAGAGACGTCGCTCGAGCAATAGCCTAATATGCACTAAAGCTAGTATAATCAAATGTAGGGGTCTCAAATGGCAATTGTTTCACAAATATTGCAAATAGTAAAAGTCTAGTGGGAAACTCGTATAGGGGGTTATGAAAAAATTAGGGCAGGATTCGCTAGGAAACCCACAAAAAAGGGGAGGTTAATCAAGCAAATCAGTCAAGTCCTCTATTTCAGTTTGCTTTATTTTTGGCTTGTTGGTCTCATCAAACTCAACATGTACTGATTCTTCAACTACTAGAGTTCTCTTGTTATATACTCTATAGGCTTTGCTATTTGTAGAATAACCCAAGAAAATTGCTTTATCAGCTTTAGCATCAAAATTTCCAAGTTGTTCTTTACCATTGTTCAACACAAAACACTTACACCCAAATACTCTAAAGTATGAGATATTAGGCTTCCTTCCATTATAAATCTCATAAGGTGTTCTTTTTAGAATAGGCCTAATTAGAACCTTATTTAACACATGACATGTTGTGTTAATTGCATCAGCCCAAAAGTATTTAGGTAGTTTAGTCTCATTCAACATAGTCCTAGCTAATTCCTCAAGAGACCTATTTTTCCTTTCTACAACCCCATTTTGTTGAGGTGTCCTAGGTGCTGAAAAATTATGATTAATGCCATGTTCTTCACAGAATTTTTGGAACAAAATATTTTGGAATTCACCTTCATGATCACTTCTAATTGAGGTGATATTTGTGTTTTTCTCATTTTGAACAAGCTTAGCAAATTTCTTAAAAGCATTGAAAGCTTCACTTTTATTTGCAAGAAACATAACCCAAGTGAATCTTGAATAGTCATCTACCATAACCAGCCCATAGTAATTCCCTCCTAGACTCATGGTTCTTGAAGGACCAAACAAATCCATGTGAATTAATTGTAAAGGTCTACAAGTTGAGATCTGATTTTTGCTCTTAAAGCTAGCCTTCACTTGCTTGCCTTTTTAACAAGCATCACATAGTTTGTCCTTGCTGAACTTGAGTTTAGGTAATCCAATTACTAACTCCTTTCTACTAAGTTTTTTTAAGTGATCCATGTGTATATGTGCAGCTCTTCTATGCCAAAGCCAAATATTGTCTTCTTTGGTTATTAAACACTTGGTGTTAGAAATTGTAATTGAATGTTCTAAGTCTAGCATGTAAATGTTGTCAATTATTTTTCCAATGAATCTAATTTCTTTTGTCAATCTATAACAGATTAAACAACAAGTATTATCAAATTCAATTTTAAATCCTTTGTCACTAAGTTGGCTTATACTAAGCATGTTATGTTTCAGCCCTTCAACAAGCAATACATTTTCAATCAATGTTGAGGAGGAAGAGTTACCAATAATTTCATGACCAAGAATCTTCCCTTTGTTGTTGTCACGATTGTAGACAGCCAATTTCGTCCAGACCCCCAAAAGCAATGAAATGGACGTCTATTATCAAGGAAAGAAGCTCCCGAAGCATGGAAACAATAGGACATGACATTAGAAAGCCTAAAGCCCAAATAAATTGATTTTAGTAGCTCGGAATGAGCTGTTCCAAAACTGGAACGTGCCGTTCCAAGTTACAAAAAGGGCCTAAAGCCCTAGTTTGGAACGGGTTGTTCCAAAACTGGAATGGGCCGTTCCAGGTTAGTAAAAAAGACTAAAA